TTTAATTTTTTTTTACGTTTTTTCCCCCCCCCCCAATTTAGGCTTTTTTCCATTTTAGACTTACTCCACCAATCAAATCTGAATAAATATGTGTGTGTATATATATATATATACACACACAGGGGTGCACATAAGGTTTTCAGTCTGGTTCTCATGAAAGCACCTGGAGATTTGGTTTGCTGCTCACACTGCACATATGGTGTGACCTATTAAATATAACTATTAAAAAAAATAGTAGAATTATTGCACTTTATTTATTTAGTTTTTTTTATATCAAATGATAAACAAAATAATAAAGTGTGATAATACTATTTTTTTCCATTTTAGGCTGAAATCTGAGAGACTTATTCCACCAATCAAATCTATATAATTAATGAAAAGATAAAATTTATTGATTCATTACACACTAAAGAAAATGTATCATGTGCTACCTTTGGTTGATGCTACCTTGAATAATTATATATTAACATAAAATGTTAAACAAATATAAAAAAATAAAAATAATAATAATAACATCTCAGCTATATTTTAATAGTCGTAATTTAGTTTGGAATCTGTTGCATGCAGAGCATTGATTAAGTCCCAGAATGCATCTGTGCATCTGGCGACACACAGCAGAGCGCTAGTGTGTGATTACAAACACTTCATCTAGATTTCTGTGAAGATCAACACAACATACTGAACTTTGAAAACTTTGGCTCCGCTTTCATGTGGTCTGCTGAACCGTCAGATGTTTCTCTGAGGAGCCGCTGAAAGAGAGAAATACAGAGCTTTGATTGGCGTGTTTTTAATGAAAGACTACCAGCGTGATCAGAAACACACATGTAGGAATCTATCTGTCAGCTGTCATCTATCTATCTCAATTTTTGCATTGTGCTAATGAGAATTTGGAGGGGAAATGTGCTAATAATAGTAATAATAATAATAATGAAAAAATGTTTTCTTGCTAAATTAAAGGCAAATTAACCTTTATTTTGGTTTTTGTATGTAATCAGAATATGGTGGGGAAATGTGCTTAATAATAATGATGATTGCAAAATAAATGCTTTTTTTTTTTCATTATGGTAATCAGAATCTGGAGGGGAAATGTGTTTATAATAATGAAAAAATTGTCGATTTTCTCGTAAAATTAAATGCAAAAACTTTTTGGCATTATGGTTATGAATTTGGAGGGGAAATGTGCTAGTAGTAATAATAATAATGCTAAAGATATTCTGTTTTCTTGCTAAATTAAAGGCAAATTAACTTTTTTTTTTTTTTGCATTATGGTAATCAGAATTTTTTGAGAGGAAATGTGCTAATAATTTATAATAATAATAGTAATGATGATGATGCAAGAAAAAATTATTGAAAAATTAAATGCATTTATTTATTTATTTAAAAATTTTTCATTATGGGAATCGGGATTTGGAGGGGAAATGTGCTTATGATAATGCAAAAATTAGATGCAGGTGTGAAATATGTTTATCTCATTTTTTGCATTATGGTTATGAGAATTTAGAGGGGAAATGTCCTATTAATAATAATAATAATAATGAATGTATTTTGGAGGGGAAATGTGCTTGTTATATAAGTATGACCTATGTAAGTACCAATGAGCGAATTTGATGGTTTATTGGTTTCTATTTTTTTGTATATTATGAATACTGTTGGCTTTTTGACAAATTGTCTTTGTTCCTCTTTTGTAAGTCGCTTTGGATAAAAGCATCTGCTAAATGCATAAATGCTCAATTTTGCGCTGGGTAGCCCCGCCCACATTGGCATCTCATTGGTCCAAAATCCAGTTGCACATAACTATGCATTAAACATAAAATGTTCTGATTGCCTAATGGCATGTCAGTATCATCCATTTTCACTTTCAGTGTGGACAAACAGAAAAACGATCATAATCACATTCAACGTTGCTCTTTCACTCTATTACATGTGAACATACTGTACTAAACCAAAAGCATCTGGACTGAAGCAATTGGTGTTGGTTCAGAGTGACTGCTCCCGTTTTTACAGTCGTTTTCAGCTGACACTCAAACAAATGAGCCGACGAACCATAGAGCTGCTAAAACCAGCGCAAACTGCTTCACATACCGTAAATACACTTAAAAGACTGATGCAATATTTGGAAACAAAGTTCTAGTTTTAGAGGAGATGCTTGTTTCTGGGTCTCGCTGTGACCCAGAATAACGCTGCATAAAAACACTGAGAGATAAATTTAGCTTACAACATATTTGCCCTCCATTTGCATCAGCGAGCACGGATGTAAGTCAACAAGAAGAAATTAGTGTTTAAAAAATGCAGGACAAATGTTCATAAACACACTGTTTTATTGAGTAGCTCCGGCTAAACGCTCAACAGCTTCACAAACTTATATATAAGTGGGTGATTTAAGATGACTTCATGTTTTTTTTTTTAAGTCCCGTGGCTCTTTAATGCTAGTTTCAGGACACAAGGTCTCACTTTTTCATTAATTACAAACTTAAACTGGATGCAAACCCAACATTAGATATGAAAAACTGATCTGAGGCCAGTTTTTTTTGCCTTGTGCAGATGTTTTGAACAAATCAAGGGTTTCATCAGATGTCATGAGACCTAAAGACAGACACAGACAGCAATGAGAATGACCCAGGTTCAGTGTGATTGACCTGGGACAAATTATTATTAACACATATTATTATTATTATTATTATCACATTGCTATATATCCAGTAGTCTGCCATCAGATATGATTTGGTTGCAGTCCTGTCACATTCAGCACGGAGTTGTGGTGTTTATGTGTTATGGAGTCATTGTGATATTGAGAACCCATCGAGAGTCTGTCTGATGTGTTTATGCGTCCAGACCAGCGCGTGGCCTCGTTCTGCACCATGACGGACATGCAGAGAGCCGAAGCGCTGCAGATCTCGCGTGAGCTCACCAGACGCGTGGCGGCCGCTGAGGGAGCTGCACTGGAGGCCGGGTGAGTTTAACAGCAAACACACACACACACAATACACTGTGTGTTCATGCTCAGACTAACAGCTCTGTCTCGCTCTTCAGCGATACGTCTCCAGCCACGCTGACGGGTAAAGTCAATCAGCTGGAGGTCATCCTGAGACAGCTGCAGTATGACCTGAAGAAGGTAAACTGTCCCGTCCTGATGGAAAACAATAACGGTTTTTTAGGTCCACCATAGATGATCTGATTTACATTTCTGGACAGGATGATCATTACTGTATTACGTTAATGAGATTTTTTTACTTACTTGCTTATTTATGTATTGTAATGAGAATTTGTTGGGGAAATGTGCTTAATTATTATTAATTAATAATAACAATGCAAAAAAAGGCTTAATTTTCTTGAAAAATTAAATGCAAATGCATCTTGTTTTTGCAGTATGTTAATGAGAATTTGTAGGGGAATTGTGCTTAATAATAAAAATAATAATGCAAAAAATGGTCAAATTTCAAAAAATGGTTAATTTTCTAAAGTTCTAATAAAGTGTCCTTTTTTCATAATGGTAAAGAGATGTTTCGAAGAAATTTACTTGTACTAGAAGTAGTAGTAATAATAGTAATGCAAAAACTTATGTTTTCTTATAAAATTAGATGCAAATGCAAAATATTATTTATTTTTTTTGCATTATGGTAATGAGAATTTGTAGCGGAAATGTGCTTATAGTAATAATAATGCAAAAAAAATCTTGCAAAATTAAATTCAAATGCATTTTTTATATATTTTTTTATTTTTATTTTTTTTGCGTAATTTAGATTTGAATTTGGAGGTGCAATGTGTTTATAATAATAATAAGAATGCAAAAAAAAATTTTTTTTTGCTAAATTAAATGCTAATTATTTTTTTTACAATAATAATAACTAAAAAAAACTATCTATTTTCTTGCTAAATTAATTGCAAATGCAAATTTTATTTTTGGCATTATGGTAATAATAATTTGTGGAGGGAATGTGCTTATTTTAATAATAATAATAGTAATGCAAACAAAATGTCTGTTTTCTTTGAAGGGAAAATGTGCTTAATTGTCATAATAATGCCACAAAATAGTAAATTTCTTGCAAAATCTTGCAGTATGACAGTATGACGTGAAAAAGGTCAACTAAGGTAAACCCGTCCTGATGGAAAACAGTAGCCGTGTTTTGTAGGTCCACTGTAGATGTTTTTACCCACTGACAAGATCTGGTTTTCTCCACGTCTCTCCATCCATTTTGTGAATGCGAAGTACATCAGCTGCGTTTGTCACTTCACAGGAGGAAGGCTTTTGAGGGGAAGGATAGGCAAACAATGTGGTAATGGGCACCAGCATGCAGAATTGCCACCTCGTTGGCCCGGTTTAATATCCTGCTTCCTGTCATTTTAAATGACTGCAGAGTGACGGCGGCTCAGCAGGAACACCTCCAACAGCCCATGATGCACCTGATGTAATTGCTGATAATGTTGCAGCGTTCACATCAGGTCAATATGCGTATAGCTGGTGTACAATTACTCTAAATGATTATAAAGAGGCATATGAATATGAGTTATGAGTCATACAGTATATCATCCATACTAATTAAAAGTTTCTAAAACATTGTATTGATTTGTTAAACTTTTCTTTTTCTGTAATGAGTGCAAAAAACTCCAGAGAGAGAAATGTATAATGTATGTAAAACACTTTTGTCCCAGAGGTTTTCAAACTTAAGAGAAAGTGTTAAAATGTTAAAACAAAATAAATCATAACAATACATTTCAATTTAATAAATAAAAATAGGTCGGTATTACAGAAGCTGACATTATTACCACTTTTAAATATGGTTTGAAATAATTGTAAAAATAAATAGATAATGAAATAAAATGTAATACAAAATGACAGTATTTTTCATTTCTAATTTGACAACATTACCACGTTTACAATATTACAATAAAAAAAAAGTAAACATTTTTAAGATAAGTAATAAAAAATAAGATTAAATTTAATAAATAAAAAATGAAAATTTTACCACTTTCTAATTTGATAACATTACTGCTTTCATAATGTTACAGAATTTGACAGTATTACTACTTTTATTAAAAATGTCAAAATAAAAAAAAAATGTGATTACATTTAATAAATACCAAAATGACAATATTACTACTTAATTTGACAACATTACCAGCTTCACAATATTACAGAATCTAAAAATACCACTACTTTAATAATAATGGAAATAAATGCAAAAATACAAAAATGAATAAAACAAAAATTACAACATTATCAATTTCTTATTTGACAGTATAACAGGCTTCACGATATTACAGAATTTGACAGTATTATTATTTTAGAAAAATTATTTAAAACATAAAAAAAGAGTTGAAATTTAAGAAACTATTTTATGTTTTGTTTTTTAAATTAAGTTTAATCACAGTTATTTTATTCTATTGACAGCCATATAATTGTGTTTCTCTTCAGGTTGATGCACTACAATATACTAGAATCAAAATTTTGCCAAATATTATTTTACACATTTATTTTATTTTTTATTTTTTTGCACCATATAAATAGGGTCTTTATACAGTACATGAAAATATGCAACTGCCTTTAAATGTTAGGATGGGGGTTCCTCAGAACCTCTGCTTTATTCAAAACTAATTTAAAGGAAAAATGTCATGATTTCCTCACACTCGGGTACTTGAAGAACCAAGGCTGATATTTTCCATATAAAGACAGCATATAGTGAGCAGCATAAAACGGTTAGTTCACTGTATTCTGAGGTCATTGGTTTGCTCTGTGCGCAGGAAAAGGAAGACAAGGCGATCCTGCAGGTGGAGGTGCAGCACCTGCGGCAGGACAACATGCGTCTGCAGGAGGAGAGCCAGACGGCTGCCGCACAGCTCAGGAAGTTCACCCAGTGGTTCTTCCACACCATCGACAAGAAGCCTTGATGGAGACCACTGGAGAACTGTGGAGATGTTCACGGCATTGACCTACACTAGCAAAGCCCGATTCCCACTGCAATTCAGTGAGATGTAGAATGTAAGTATATTCTGGACTGGAAAAGCCACTTTTGTTGGTGTAGATGAGCAGCGAAGACAAACGGAGGCAGGTTTAGCCTGGAGAATGTACTCAATTAGCAACTAAACGATGTTTCTGGAGGTGGATTATGAATGTAATGCATCAAGACTTGGCGAGACGTTTCATTTTCTGCCTCAAACGTTGCAATCAAACGTTGAAGTTCAGCGGGTCAACGGTACCTTCATCGCTCGCGTTTCCAATCATTTCTGTCCACATTCATCAAGTTCTGGCAATAAGGTTCATGGATTTCCCAAACAAACACAATGTGAAGAGTTCCTGAAGCTGTAAATGTTGAGATTGTGCCTCTAAAAAAAGGCGAAATGAAGCAGCTGTGTGCATAACGTGGCTTTCCTCTCCTGCCTCGTCTCGAATCCGCAGTCACATGCCAAAACTCTGTCCATCTCTGTACAGAACCTCCAATCAAGTGTCTTGTATTTAACACTGTTATTTAAGCTGATTTAACCTAAATGAGTTTATTTTATTAAAATGAGCGGCTTCTGGAGGGACGGCTGTGAGAAGGCCATACTGTGACCGTTTTGCCAGGACTGTGTCTGAAACATAGATTTCTTGATGATTTGTCTTTTTTTCCCTCATTCCAACATTTGGATGCTGCTAGATAACACTTTGTTGGTTTCTATGCTTTTACAAATGTGTTTCTCTGTAAATCTATTTCATGTAAGATGGGACATTTGGTTGTTTTTTTTTGTTTTTAATAAACGTAGTATGTAAAATCAATCAGATGCGTCTTCTTAATATTTCAGGTTCTAGGAAAAAAAACACTGATAAGTAAATTATAACATCTATGTTCTAATATGTTGTTTACTTATTTTGATTGTCTGATTTTCATTACTTCAGTGTGAGGGGGAAAATCATTCCTGTACGAGAATGTTTTAATTGATTTATTTTTATTTTTATTTATTTACTTTTTGCATTATGGTCATGGGAATTTGAAGGGAAAATTAGCTAATAATGATAGTAATAAAAATAAAAATGGATGTCTTAATTTTCTTGTAAAATTAGATGAAAATGCAATTTTTTCTTTATTTTGCATTATGGTAATGGGAATTTGTAGGGGAAATAATAATAATAATAATGCAAAAAGAAATGTAATTTTTTTTTCTTGCAATTAAATGCAATATTACACTCTGAAAATGCTGGGTTGTTTCAACCCAATTTTGGGTCAAATATGGACTAACCCAACTGTTGGGTTAAATTTTGGTTACATTTTTAAATTAACTTTTTAACCCAACAGTTGGGTTAGTCCATATTTGACCCAAAATTGGGTTGAAACAACCCAGCATTTTTTAGAGTGTATGATCATGAGAATTTGTACTTGGAAATGTACTTAATTTTCATGATAATAATAATAATAATGTCACAATGCAACTAAATAGTAATTTTGTTTTTAATTAGATGCAAATGTCAAATTTGATTTTCGCATCAAGAAAGGTGGTTCATTTTCATAATAATAATAAATAATAATAATGCAAAAACAAATAGACTTAATTTTCTTGCGAAATAAGATGGAAATGCAATATATATATATATATATAATTTTTTTTTTTTTTTTGCATTATGGTAATACAGATTTGTTGGAGAAATGTGCTTATACTAATAATAGTAATAATGCAAAAACATTAAATGCATTTGCATTTAATTTAGCAATAAAATTAAATGCAAATGCAATTTATTATTTGCATTATGGTCATATGAATTTGTAGGATAATTGTGCTTAATTGTCATTTCTTGCTAAATTAGATGCAAATGCAAAATTTTGAATTTTGTGTCAAGTATGACGGATGTTTCGTCCTGAGATTGGCTTAGCTGGCAGGTCCACAAACATCTGCCTCTTTCTAAACCTCCTGTGAGATTGACTTTCTGATGACACTGACATTTTCTCCAGTTCAGCATCAGCAGAGAATTATTGTTGCCATGGAGTCAGCATATTCCGCCGAGGACCCTTTTGGGAATACCTGCCTGAGAATAAGTTCATATGTAATGGACACTTATCTGAGCTTCCACAGACGGGCCTGCTGCAGGTGCGTGTGCATGAGGGTATTAAATGGATGTAGTTCATTCTGCAAACCACTTTAAAACGAATAATTCACCCCTAAATTACAATTCTGAATTTTAATTTCTAGGTGAACTAATGCTTAAAAGAAACTGATGTTGATGCATCTGGTTGTAGCTGTTTGTGTCTCTACTGAAGTAGCTAGAAGATTCTTTGTTTTTATATGTAAATTGTTAAAGCTTCAAAGAGGCCAACCTCATAAATTACATTGTTTAAAGAATCTACTTTCCATTTACACACACTGTAAATCCCAGCTGCCAGGAATTTCTTTCTAACATCAGAGACCACCACAAGATTGAAGTGGTACGAGAGGGGGAGACGTGCATTTCAGGGAACAGAGCAACACACACACACACACACACACATTCCCAGTCGAGCCGCAGGAGGTCGGAATGACACGGATTCATGGAAACGTTCCTGTTCTCCACATGTGTTAGTAAGTCTCCGCAGTGCTCGTTGAGTCACGGTTGACTGTATTTTGAGCCCATGTGACACACGGCTGGTCCATCAGCTCAGTGTTCCCATGCTCACGCAAAACATAGGAAAGTTGCAGGAAATTTGAAATATGTGATTTTCAGACCTGGAAAAATCACAGAAATTAATACAACTTTTAAAAGTGATTGAAATTATGAAGTTTTCTAGTTGTGCTCAGCACTGTAATATTTAGTCTGCTAATTATAGTGCAATCTATTGTTCATGTTATTTTAGTATTATTTATATACTAGTATTTATAAATATTTTAAATTAGCTTTTATTTTTATTTTCCATTTTCATTATAATTTTAATTAAAATGTAATACATTTTTATGTGCTTTTTGTTTGTTTTCAGGGTTTTTAATATTTCTATTTAATTTCTATTTATGCTTTTTTTTTTTTAGTTTTAATATTTTAACTTAAGCATTTATTTGAATTAATTAATTTTCAGTTTGAGTTTTTCATCTAATATTTGTATTTTATTTTATTTCAGCTTTATTTAAGGATTTTTAACAGTTTTAGTTAACAATAGCAACTTTTTTTTCCATACAGTGAAAGCATTTAGTTAGGCTATTAAGTTCCAAAAAGGAGAAAAAAATCAGTATTTGAACTTTTGTGATTTGCATCCATGTATATACATGGTAAATATGCCAAGTAGAGACGTAGATTAGTTCTTTCATGCCTCAATCACAACATGCACAGTTTAAATTTGTAGAATTTATATTATATGACTTAAGATGCATGCAAACTGTATAAACAACTTGAATGATACTTTAAAGCTTTTGCAGCTCCTGGTCATATGCTTTCAGTTTTTGAACATTATGCTAAACCTCTTTTGTGTTCCACTGAAAAAAGAAAGTCATGCAGGTTTAGGACGACATGAGGGTGAGTAACTGATATTTGGGTGTATTATATCAGAGTGATCCAAATCCACCAAGTTTGGAAGTTTCCCAAAGCAACGTAGTTTGTATGGATGTAGTTTGTGTATTTTTGCGACTTTGGAGCCCCTGCAGTGTCGTAATTACAGTGTACAGCTGCACACGTGCATTTGTTGCTGTCGTAAAGCAATCGGCGGAATTTACTCGATCGCCAAACTTACAAACTCCCAGAACAGACGCTTATAATATATAATATAATAACACTACCTCCAGTGGAAAAAGTCCATCTCCTGTTGTCTCTCATCACATCAAAATCCAGCCACATATTTGTTCAGAGCTGTTTTGGCTTGTAAACGGTGCTTGATCTGTGCAGATTTCTCTCCTGATTCAGACCAGAACACTTTTTCACTGGATTATGGACATATTTTAGCCGGAAGTGATGGCTTGAAGTTAAAAATGTCTTGATTGATTCTTACAAACACGTAGCTTTTTGCTTCCAAAACATTAACTGATGGACTGGAGTGGTGTGGATTACTTGTGGATTATTGTGATGTTTTTATCAGCTGTTTGGACTCTCATTCTGACGGCACCCATTCACTGCAGAGCATCCATTGCTGAGACACTGATGCAATGCTACATTTCTCCAAATCTGATGAAGAAACAAACTCATCCTAATCTTGGATGTTCTGAGGGGTGAGTATAATTTTCATTTTTGGGTAAACTATTACTTTAATGACCTCTGTCTGCTTCATTAGGACAAGAGGAAAGCTATAAAATAAGTGGAGAAATGCAGATTGCAAATGCAAATCCGAGATCCAAACCCGTCACTACAGAACAGAGACTGAATTATCCATTTTGCATGTTGCTCTATTTCAGAATGAGGATCATATATTTCCTGATGAGTTTCCTGTCTCTGGAAAGCCCGTGGTAGCGGCAGCTGTTCGGGTGTGGTGCACAACTCCACCGCAAAGGATTGTAGGTAAGAAGCATGCAATGCATGTTGGCATGTGTTCATATAGTCACTGGATCTCCAGACAGCAGCTATAGTCATCAATGCAGACTGTGATTCCAACAGCATCTGGTTTTCATGCAGCAGATTCCCTCAACCGCAAGTTTCCGCGTTTATTAAAAGCAGCGCTGATGTTAACGTACAGACCTTAATCAGGTTGGACATGTTTATTTGACATGGATGAGAACGAGGCTGTGAGGGACAGAGCCACTGTTCAATGTCTTAAGGGCCAAGATAGCCATGTTTTCATCAAAGGTTTATGGAAAGACATATTTTCATTGTTCACAACCTCCCTTTCATTCATGTCAAATGAAGTACAGCATCTACTCTGATTAAAGGCCAGTGTTTGTATCACAGTGATGCTATTTTAGCAGTCGCTCTCAAAACAGTTAAACGGCTCTCTTTCTAGGCGTTTCTGTGCTGAAATACACTAGCTTTTAAAAGTTAAAGATATTAGTACTTTTATTATGCAAAAAAACATTAAATTGATCGAAAGTGAGAGTATAGACATTTATAATGTTACAAAAGATTTCTATTTCAAATAAATGCTGTTCTTTTGAACTTTCTATTCATCAAAGAAATAAATCCTGAAATAAAAAATGTATCACAGTAAATATTTGACTTTTACATAAAACTTTTCTTTGCCGTACAGCAGTGATTCCCAAAATTTTTTTATCAGCTGAAAACTTTTGAGCTAAAATATTTATTTGAAGTCCCCCTGAGATTTGAATTTTAATATTTCAGTAATTTTTCACAGTTCTCTAATGTCGGTTAATGGTCGCATGACATGCCGGTAAACAAATAAAATATTTTCTTTTAAAGTATTTATTTTAATTAGACTTTTTTTGATTTATTAAAATATTACATTAAATTCGATCTTAAATTTAATCTTTCTAGCGAGTTTTAATTTTGTTTGTTTTACTTCATTAAAAGTTAATTATTTAATTCTTTTTTCTGATTGAATTATTTTTGGACTTTTTCCTCAATTCACAAACCCCATGAAACCCTTCATTAGAGGAAAGCAGTTAGACTGTCAAAATATAATATTTTGCTTTTATTTTAAAATTATTTATTTTAATTTGACTTTTTATTTAATTTTTAAAATAATAAATCATTTAAATATTTAATCTTTTTTTAGTAGGTTTTTTGTTCGTTTTGTTTTCTTTCCAAAATTATCTATTTATTTTAATTGGAAAAAAACTTTTTTCTGATTTAATTATTGAAATATTAAATAAATTAATTAAATTCAATATTTAA